GTCATCTCTTTCTGACTCATTGCATATCCCATAAGAAAATAAGAGGACAATTTAAAATTGTCACTATTCTTGTACCACGCTGCTTTTAAAATAAAATAATAAATTTAATTAGTTATGATTATTGTTAATCAATAGGTAATTTGAGTCTAAAATATACAAACTGAACCTCTACATTGGAATTTGGAAATAAAAGGATGAAATGTGAAATTGTACCCAAAATACCCACCACGATCGGTCACCATTGTTGACGTTTGGTTACATAATTAAACTAAAATTTGTGTTAATTTTATTACAGATATCTATTAATATCCATAATCTCTAATAAAATGAAGGGGGAAGTGAATATCAATTTAGACCTATCTTAATATTCTCTTGCCTCCAAAATAAAAACTATACAATTTATATGATCTTATTGTATCTGCTTTTGTCTTTAGTTAAATTTCAAATAACTTACCAAAGTACTTTAAATCTTTATAATATGCTACAACATAATTTATTTTTGTACGTACCAACTACAGTTATCATATTTATCCTTTTACAGTTGATGTTCTGAATTTAAAAAATTCTTAAGTTTTTACAAGTAGGTAACCTATACAGTAGTTTTTAGCCTTGAAAGAATTTTTTTCGGTGTTCGGAGTTAAATGGAGGAATAAAAGGCAAGGAAGAAGAGGAAAAGTTATTCGCACAGAACTTTTGACATAACATTTAATTTTAAGAAAAAAAGTTTTACAAAAATATAAAATCACATTTCGATAGATACTTAAAATTTCCTATCGCTTTTCTAACAATCACATCAATTTGTTATACAACAATAACAATAAATTTAGTCCTTGTGAAGTTAATGCAATCAATTAAACTAGAAATTTAACATTTAACCTGTTTTCTTTAAGTCATTTTCTTGATAAACTTAATTGCTCTGCTTGAAGATCGCGTTCAAAGTTTGAGTCTTCAAAATGTTTACTACAAATATGCCCAGTTAATGATTAAACAAATCGCGTCTTTTGCACCGTTCCACCCATAAGTTTTTTATCCTTGGGAAACACATTAAATCAAATTTTTTAATTGTCTCGTTTAGCACTATAAAAATTATTATTGCAAATTGCAACACTATACCTCACTCCTGGCATTTTTATGTGATAAATTAATAGTTTATTACAGTACAGTACATTACACCATCAACTTATTAAAAACTATTATCAATGACTAACTAATTACTGCAATATACCCAAACAACTGTGAAATATTTACTTAAATACTTTGAAAAATTAAAAATTACTAGTTAAGTCGTATGTAAACAAACATGAATCCTAAAGGTTAGAAATCTTGTCACATGGTATGAGATAAGCCACGCCCATAATTTCTGTCTATTACTCGACCGTCTTTTTTACGGACCGTGCTCCCGAACTACTTCACTATTTGTGGTACTTTAAAATCCATGTTATTTAATGTTATTTTAATTATACAGGTTACTTTGATTTGTAGGTCATTATCGTAATAAATAAAAAACAAATGCTGATAAATATTTTTACACTTTGTTTTTTAAACACCATTGAATATCGCGCTAGGATTGCTTTTTTCAATTTTTGAATATTAATTTTGCAAGAAAACGTGTACACTGTTCAAGCAAAAGTATAAATGATCCTGTTTTTTCGACTTCAATACAAAATATATTAATAAATGAATAAGGCAAAAAATAATATTGAAATAAAGAAAATACAGTAAAACCTGTTACGTTTTTATATTTTATTAAAATCGTGATACTTTAATTTAAATAAATCTGAATATTTAATAGTGTCAATACTCCAATTTAAATAAATCTGGCCCGACACCATCTCCTCTAAAGGAGCACAAGTGTCACTTGAAAAATAATAGCGAGGAAAAATCAGCAGTTGCGGAACACAGGACAGGACACCCGATATAACTAATACCAAAATTCTAGTAGAGAGAAGATTGTAGCCAAAACTCGATGTCGGAATACGCAAAAATTTGCAACAGATTTCAATATGTCGTCCATCAAGGTCATAAATCTGTAGAAATTGACGTTACTTCAGGAGTACCTACCTTAAAGTTTTATCCTTGAGTATATTTATAAAATGTGCAATCGATAATAATTTAACAGTAAATGCTTCATTATATGTTTTTACAAAATTTGTAATATCAATTACTGTCTTCGTCTTCAACAAAACCTGTGCGTTTAAATAGTGTATCAGAAATAATTTATATTTAAATCCAAATAAATGTACTGTTTCTGCATTTACCACTAAACAAAATATGACATCTTCGTATTCAGTTACCCCAATCGGTTCTACAAAATATTTTTCCCTTACCTTCGCTAGTTAATAGGCGTAATATTTCTTGTTTTACTTTTTTTATTCTCCACTATACAATTAATCGCAGAACTCGCAGATAACAATCTCTAGCAATTGGTAAACAATTTTTGAGAGAGATATTTATAATTGTTGAATTTAAAGAATATACTTTCACACTCTGTATCTCATAAACAAAAGATGCCCATGGTTCATAGGAAAAATATCTATTTTTTGAAGTTTTATCAGTTCCTGAACTTGTGGTACCTTTATCCAAAACGCCTTATATATAACTTTTTGTATTTTTGTTGCTTTTTTCCTTAAAAACAAACATTATTTTTTATAGGAAATGTCAAAATAAGTACCTTACTACAAATAAAACTAAGCCATAAAAAAATTATAGAGTGTAAAAAGTTCTGTAAATTAAAAATCTTTCGAATACACTTTTAAATAAAGATTTTTGGTTTACGGAACATTTTATAAAATATATATCTTATTATTAGCTATCGTGTTTTTTTCTCTATTGTAATAGTATATTACGTAATAAGTGTTGTAAAAAGCATTTTACGCACGAATGGAAAAGTTACGCACGACGCCGCGTAGCGGTATGTACTATACTTTACATACGACCACTACTGTAAATACTTAAAAACACACCGTCTGCGATCAATGTAAGATTCCTCTATTTCTATTACGTACGGTAAAAAAATCGCACAGCTTGGTAAAAAAATCGTACAGTTTTCCTAGCAACCACCTAGCAACGGTGAATACAAACAGTATTGTATTGACCGTTGCTAGGCGGTTGCTAGGAAAACTGTACGATTTTTTTACCAAGCTGTGCGATTTTTTTACCGTACGTAATATANTGTAAATTAAAAATCTTTCGAATACACTTTTAAATAAAGATTTTTGGTTTACGGAACATTTTATAAAATATATATCTTATTATTAGCTATCGTGTTTTTTTCTCTATTGTAATAGTATATTACGTAATGTGTTGTAAAAATCATTTTACACACGAATGGAAAAGTTGCGCACGACGCCGCGTAGCGGTATGTACTATACTTTACCTACGACCACTACTGTAAATACTTAAAAACACACCGTCTGTGATCAATGTAAGATTCCTCTATCACGTACGGTAAAAAAATCGCACAGCTTGGTAAAAAAATCGTACAGTTCTCCTAGCAACCACCTAGCAACGGTGAATACAAACAGTATTGTATTGACCGTTGCTAGGCGGTTGCTAGGAAAACTGTACGATTTTTTTACCAAGCTGTGCGATTTTTTTACCGTAAGTAATAGGAATCTTACATTGATAGCAGACGGTGTGTTTTTAAGTATTTACAGTAGTGGTCGTAGGTAAACGTATTAAACTAATTTAAATAAACTTTAAAAAATCTTTGATGTAAAAAATCTAGATGCAGAAAATATCTAATCTAACGTTGATATTGCAGAAAACAACTATTCTATGGGCTACATGTCCTATCTAGCATTGAATTACACCAGCAATATCTAGTACATAACTAGTAGTTTATCTAAAATAAAAATCAAAACTGGTATGTTTAAATATTATAAAAACATTCTCTGGATATATATTTCTAAAATAATTCACTTTCATTTTTCTATTAAAGATTTAGCTATTTGTAAAGAAGATACGTATTAGCGATGCATTCGTCAGTACCTATTAAGACAAAAACAGGAATGAATTTGAATTAATACCTTCCACGTAATGCCATTTAAAGTCTAAAGTCATGCATTTTGAGATATTATTTTCAGATCCCATGACCGTAAGTAAAAATATTTCCCCGCAGAAAATATTTTTAATGCGGTCTTCGTTTTCACATTCCCTTACCCAGGCAGCGGCAAAAGCTTTTTACCCGCAATCGTAGTTCAAGCAGTAATATTTCGAAATAATTGTCCAATAAAGTTGTTTTTCCTCAGACAGATGTACATTCATTCACATATTTCTCGAAAATTTATTTTGCCATTAAATATAATGTATATAAGAACTCTATATCCATGAAGATACCTCATATTTTTTTCTGTTTTCCACTTTTACATATTCGTAGGCCAAATAAGTAAGATACTTATTAATATACTAAAATTATTATTGTATAATAATGGTTTATATAAGATAGATACTATATGCATATGAAAAAAATTAATTTTCTAATACTTGTTTGATTGTTTTGATTAAATAGTTTGATTGAATAGTGTAGACCGAAAACTACTTAGGATATTTTTAGGTTTAAAAAAACACAGAGAATATATTACATGTATAATTCAGTTTTTTATTTGTAATGTAATGTAATAAAATGTATCACCTACAAGAAGGTATAGGTATGCATATGAAATATGCAGAAACTTATATTATTCTCATGATATATACGGATATAACAAATAGTTATACCATGTATTATTCTTATATACATTAACAAGACATGAGAAGATATAATAGCTTGCGTCATCTGTGATTGAATAACAGTATTCAATATAAAAGGGAAAAAGGATTTTATAGGAAGTTAATAGCGCCATCTATTGACCAGTACTATATTCGAATGTGACATATAGCACTGACACGACCCACATTAGAAAGTTTCTACTTATCCCATCTAAGTGCCATGCAATGCGCAAATATCTGCGCAATAGACTAAAATTCATATTGGTGTGCTTGTTTGAGTCGAGTGCATTTTAAACATGTTGGAGCGAAACCGGGTTGTGTTGTTTTAATGAAAATTTGTGATGAAATATGTCAGAAATAAAACGTGTTACTTTAAGTACATTTGAACCGCAAAATGTGAGTGATAAGGTGAATAAAAAATCGTGTAAAACTGTAAGGATATCTGTGATTTTACCAGAATCGAATGAAGACAACTGCCCTGAATACAACTATAAGGACCAACTAGCAGCTGTAAAGGTAACTTATGACAGAAAATGGTCTCGAATTGTATTTTAGACCAAGCAGAATTATATATAGAACCATATAAAATAATTTGCCGATGTTCCTAAACAGTTTTGACAGTTAACAACTCAAATTTTCTTTAACTTGTCAACGTCTGTTAGTGTAAGTCTCTGAAGGTTTTATTATTAAAGTATCTTTAAATTTACTTTAATTATGAGGTTAGCATTTACGTCGCCATGTTTAACGTAGATTTTACAAAAAAACACACATTTTTGCATGCTGCAGACGGGAAAACTTAGACTAAGAGTCCATTGTTTTAAATGATGTCCCCATCTCATCCCATTGTACATTTTACCCAAGTTTGTCTATAAACCACCTCCCAGGGCTTTTCTCAGATCGATTACGTTTATGTCCTTTTATTCCTCCCAACCTAGGATATATGCAGAATTTGCAACTGTGCCCGTCCGTGACGCACTGCAATATGCAATGGAAAGTGCAATACTTAGCAGCACCTATCATTATATCTGCAGTTAATTTTTGCGTACGTAGTCTACTTTCAGCAATAATTTATGTAATTTCGGCTCTTCAATTTTTAGATAAATAGCTTTCCGCAACGTTGCCAAACAGCAAAGCTGACAAACTTGCGGGATTAATTCTTAGCCAAGAGCGCGTGAGAACATGTTTGTCGGTACAGCTCGAAAACGTCACGTAGTACACACATCAATTAACATTAAAATTAGATAGGAATAACAATATCAGTTTCACATTAAGTTAGATTACATCAAGGTTTCACCGGTCACTTATCCTGGAATCGATAAAAAAAAAAGTCCGAAAACAGGCAAATGAATATAATTAAATCAGAATGTATAGATCATGACTCATAGTTTTTGGAATAAACCGCTTATAATTTAATGTAGTACAATGCTAGAATTGCCAAAAAAACGAATACTTGAACAAATAAATGTTTTTGGTATTGGTGGGTGCAAAAATTCACTAGCTTGGGAGATATGCATAGATAAATCCTTCGCATGAGGTCTACACCTATTAATAGTCAATAGAATGAATTTAATATTTAATTATTTAATCTCACTGTCATTTAAGTAATATGGAAAGGGAGTTTATTTATTATGCGACGAACTGGTTGGTGATGATGACAGAGAGAGCGCGCTATTTTTTAATGCACATAGATACCTAGATTCGCTGAATAAAATTAGGTGGTCACCCAATTATTTTTTTCGGGGATTATTAAACATATTCGTAATATCTGAATTTGTTTTTATATCCCTGTTTTTTGCGATATTTTCACTATTGTCGAGATTGCATTTGGGCGCGCAAGTATTGGGAGAGCAGAAAGCGAAAGTTGTGGTGGTAGACCGCTCGCAAACCAAACTTCGAAAGCCTGCCTCGATGTCTCGGCTGCAAGCGATACTAGTCCGTATGTTACCCATGGTTAAGGTTCTGTGAGGCACTCGCACTGTCCCACGTTTTATTTTACCCGGCAGATTTTATCTTCATCTCGAAATTCTTGTTTCATTAGTACCCGTAATGAATTTATCACTGCTTCTAATATAACTAGGTACATAGGTACTAAAAAATATGGAACATTTTTCTTTTATTTTGAGCTCTACAAATAGGTAAGGTATTTCCTTGCCTTATTTCAGTATCAGTAGAGGTTGTACAACAGATTTCTCCAGTGGCGTTGTCATTTATGGGTTAAAATAAAACAAATCGAAAAAAAGTCGAGAATTGTTTAGAAGGTATCTGATGACTCGTCAGTTTTATTTTATTCCTTCTACTATTTGCCTTTGCAGTGTAATAATAGGTACCTAGGTAGGCATCTAGTAATCTATAAGTAAATAACAAAAGAACTACTTTCTTCAGTACCAAACTTATTCAATGCTACGCCGCTGAGTTAGTCATTGCTCAAAATCAATTGAAGTAGGTAGGTAGATATGCATAATTTTTAATTTTTATTTATTCAAATTATTAAATTGTTACCTTTTTGTGCTACACCCATGCGAATGAATATATTAAGCTTCATTTTGTGTCGCCACACATCCTTGTTTACTGTCGCTAGAAAAAGAGGACGGATAATTTAAGCAATTAATTATATTTAGATACTGGGATAATGGCGAGGTATGCCAAGTTGACCAGTCATTATTCACACATTAATTTTTAAGTATATAGGTACCGTGTGTTTCTTGCAAAAATCTGAACTTAGGTACATTTTTGTATGCTGCACAGAGTGATCGCGTAAAGCAAGGTTTTTAATTATGTTTTCGTTGTTTGTGTATTTCCTTTTGTATCAGTATATATGTATTTTTTATTTTTGTCAAGCATTTCATCTATTCTCAAGCAAAATAGTCCCATTTAATTTGACAAATAAAGCTGGTTTAATGGTTTAATAATTAATTAATTAATAGTGGCCGCATGGCACACGCGGACCACTACGTGAGGTTGTATCAGGAAAGCAGAAAAGCATGACGTTAGACGTTACGATGAATTTATGAGCTTCTCAGATGATATCCCTGTGTTCATAATGTACCACATTAGATGTGTATAGAATATATGTAGTATATTAAAGTGAGGCATACATTTGATAAAGGTTCAGATAATTTTTTAGGGCAAAAATATTGCGACGCACCATTTTTTTTTATAAGAGCGATAATAGTTCCAACATGAGCCATCTTGTATAATATGATCGCTTTTTTAAAATAGACAATTAAAAATAAAAACTCAAATGCGTCACTTTACGGACAAACAAACCATTTTGTAATTAACTCGTTTCCTTATTAGCCTTGAAGAATCAATAATTGCATCTCCAATCAAGTTAGAAAGCAATAATTTCTCCATTTCCATCTAGGTATCTCATATTCTCTAACTGAGCAGTCGTCAGAGGCGTGCGCTTAATTTTATTTTGTATAATTTTTCGATTATTCCAGTTATCTTTTTCGTGGTAGTTTGTTGACTCAAATTACACATTTTTGCATAGATAATTAAATAAACAAAATACCTAAGTACCTACCTAGCAAACAGAATTTACCACTTCCGGTTTCCTGTTAGATTTGAGTGGGTCGACAACAATAAGTATCAATATTATACAGAGTGCATTTCGATTATTTCACTTATAGGTGAAGGTATAGTTATGCGGCGTATGAATTTTAACTTATCTAACTGTGAAGAAACCGTACAAAGCGTTCTTTTAGGTCAAGGTTACAAATCAGAGAATAATTTAATTCATTACAAGATGGAAAAAACTTATAAAAAAACTTATAAAAGGAATAGTACTGCATTTTTGATGTATTAGTACGACTTTTTATAATGCTACCTACCTAAGTATTTATTAAAATCTAATTTATTCTCCTTGTCTCTTTAAAGAAGGTACCAAGGGAGGTACATTGACATTTCAAATCTGCTTTGTTTCACAGTAAACTTCTATTTCGTCATTACATACATACATACTAAAATGCATATGGTCGTACTTGTGTGCGTGTTTACATAGTTTTATTCATTAAAGGCAATTTTTGAACTTTTAAACATAAATAATTTTAGCTGATCCTTTCTGCTCATTTCATATCATATCCTAACATACGTATTTTATACCTATTTCTATTATTTAAATTTTGCTGATATATATGTACCTTATAGGTACATACCGAGGTACATACTTTAAGTTTATAAAATATTTAAGGGTTCAAGAAATCGGGGAATCATTTTATTTTTTATTGCATTTTCCTTAAGATAAATTTAATATTTTGTACTAAATATATTGTGGAAATGGAAATATTTCTTTATCCTGCATAAAGTGAAAACAATATTAAATATTGGGAGAATATTGCCTAATAAATGCAATTGGTGATTGTAAATATCAATTAATACTAGCACATATATTTCTTTGGTTTCATGTTTAATCTTTTTTTTGCAGAAACGCTTAAAACAAGGTAAAGAACCTAGTGCAACAGAAAATGGGCTGGACCCTTTTCCCGATGATGATGATGACGTTAGAAGAATTGCGCTCGAAATGGAAGCAAAATATGTAAGCTTTATATTTACTTTCTATCTCTAATATATTGATAAAATTTGTGTAGGTATTTAATAAAAAGGTGAAACTATCCCAATTTTCCATTCAAAATGTGACTGAAGTTTGTATTCAATTTTTTCTTTTCTATTATTTTCTTGTCACCCTGTTACAGTAGAATTTATTCTTTGTCTTGAATTTTGTGTTTGTCTTGTGATATGAAAACATATATATTATTATTTTATCATGTCACATTTGAATAGATATCAACTGCTATAGTCTTTCCGAAGTCAGTTGAACATGTAAAAAAACGCCTGGCAATAAAATTTAATGACTTTCATAGGCGTCCCTAAAAAAGTTTTCTGATGAAGGTAAAACATTATAATAATTTGTATATAATGTGCAGAAAACTTCTATTATATGTTTATTTGGCCAACAACATATTTTAATTATTTATGTCCTCAAACAATTTTATTATATTGATGGTAAATTTCACCTAGTTCCATTTCAAAAGGTCTCCAAAATGCCATGTTGTAATAATATTATTTCTCCCTTTCGCAATTGTAATATTAATGATTAATAAAAGGTGCCTATAATAAATTAAAATTACCTGAATCACACCAAATTCCGCATTGCTGCACTGCACTGCTGGGCAATTTGCCGACCACTTGTCAACGGCTGAGATTTATTGCCCATTTGTATTTTGTTTGCCCGTGCTCGCATTCTTCCACTGGGCGTATACATTTCTACCACCGCCACGTTTAGTTTCACCAGACCTGTATATGGATATGGCTAAATAAATATGGGAACAAGTTTTTCAAATATCTCAATGCCGAGTTGCTGCGTCAGCGACCGAACCTGATACACACTGTCATCCTCTTGGCTCTTCATTTGATATTGGAAAGACTATAATTAATGTTCTTTTCAGGGCTCCGGAATGAATTGTGCTAAGAAGAAACGGAAAGGTAGGAAAGACGATTATGCCGACATCGGCATGGGTTACGATGAGTCTGATTCCTTCATTGACAATACCGACGGATATGATGAGATCATTCCTCAAAACGTTACTACCCTCCATGGGGGCTTCTACATAAATTGTGGAGCCCTCGAGTTTAAGACTGATGAAGAGGCCAGTTCTGATATTTCGTCTAGTTCCTCCGAAAGCGAAGACGAAACAAGGCCATCCAGTAATCGAAAGGTATGTTTGTATTATACTCTCCTAAATAATAAATACCTACTGAATAAGTCTAATGTTTTTCTTTTTAGAGGATTTTGGATACTTCAGAAGAGAGTGAGAGTGACACTGGCCCAACCTCTCATCTTGAAAAGGTAAAGAGCATTTAACTATCGATAAATCATAATTTTTGCACTTTTTTTGTTTGATTAATCATTAAACTTGTTTTTTTTTTTAGAAACCAAAATTGCAATCATCCAAAAATACTATGCAGCAGGCCATTAAAAAGAAATTATTTAGTCAGAATAAAATTCAGGTTAAGAAACGAAGGCTGATCGATCCGCTGAAGAAAACAGTGAAAGATCTCCTCCGAGAGAAACGAGAAGATCTGAATATGAGTCTTCCTTTAGAATTACAAGATGAAAAAGAAGGTATTTGGCGAAAATTAACGTCCTGAAAAAATTGCCATATATACGTACTTTTTTGCAGATAACGTGGAAAAAGATTCGCTTAAAGAAAACAAGAAGCCAATGAGTATTACCAGTGTAACCGATGCCATAGAATCCGTTGTCAAACAGGTTGTGGAGGAGACGGATTACAGTCCTAACCAGAATAGTAAGCAGAGTAGTCCGGATATAAATAAGAAAAATGATTTGGTAATTCCCAAAAATGGTATGTATTTTATTTCTTTGCACAAATTCTGATTAATTTTTGACAATCACTTCTTCAAATTCAGTTGTTGCAGCAAATTTAAGTTATAATTGTAAATTTACACTTACATTTATAAGTTTCCATGCTAAACTACATTTTTTGTCTTTATAGCTATTAAAATAAACTTTTACGCAATTTTTATGACTATCGAATATTTACTGTAGATTTACATTTACATTCGTAAATTTACAGAAGGAATGACATGTTTTGCCTTATAACTATAAAATTCAGTTATTACGGCGAATTTTATAACTAGCAAATGTTTAAAAATTTGTTGTAATTGTAAATTTACACTTACATTTTTTCATCCTATATCTATCAAAATAAACTTTTACAGCAATTTTTATGACTATCGAATATTAATTGTAGATTTAGTTTTACATTTGTAAATTCAGGGGAAACACACTTTCTGTCTTTGTAATTGAAAAGTTTATTATTACAGCAAATACAGTCACCTGCAAAAAAACCGGCCACCCTAAAATATTTCGCAAAAGTCCCCTTATCTGCTTAGTTCATAATCTAGTTAGTAACCTAAGCTAGTTCTTTTTCATTATCAGTGCTTTAAGATGATTGTTCCACATCTACGTAAGCCTAATTTTAATTTTACAAGCCAAAATTCCCTTTTCAACGACATTAATATGCTCGCGTAAATCACACAGCAGCAGACTATGCATCATCTCTTATCATTGATGTTCTCTAGAAGGCAAGTACGCTTATGTACATTGTTTTTGGAATTAAGTTTGACAGTCGATGAAAGTTTTCACCCGATAACAATGCCGTTAACTGTGTTGCTGACGCTTCTGAAGTTTTTGCATTGATTGAAGATGGACGTAGTCAGTGTTATGTGTCTCGTTCATTGGGAATATTTCATACTACCATTCAGGATGCGTGGAATCGGTATCTGGAGACTGGCAGAGTCACGAGACAACCAGGATCCGGAAGAAAAAGAGTAACAACAGTGCTTCATGATCGTTCCGTTGTGTTCAACACACTGAGGGATCGCAGTTCAACTTCAGCATCGCCTTCTAACAGTGCGAGGGGTTCAAGTAAGTAAGAGGACAATTAGGAGGAAAATGGTTTATCTTTGTTAAGGCCAGCCATAGGACCACAATTGCTACTTAGGCATCGAAGGGCACATCTTCAGTTTGCGCGATTACATGTAAACTGGATTCCTCGGCAATGGAGTGAAGTTGTTTTTACTGACGAGTCTCATTTTTGTCATCATCTGATGGTCAGGAAAGGGTGTGAGGAAGACAAAATGAACAATATTCAGACTGCAGCATCCCTGAACGAGTATCTTTTAAAGGAGGTTCTGTTATGATGTGGGCAGGCATTTCTATGGAAGCACGTACCGACCTTATATTTGTGGATAATGGAGCTTTGAACGTCCGCAGATATGTGGAAGATATTCTTCAAGAAGCTGTCGTTCCATTTTCGTATTTTATTGGGGATGGCTTCGTTTTAATGCAAGACAATACCAGACCACACACTGAACGAATCGTAACTGAATACTTAAAGGAGGTCGGTATTCGTAGACTTGATTGGCCCGCATGCAGCCCGGACCTTAACCCAATTGAATATCTTTGGAAGGAACTTCGGAGGGCTATTCGTCGTCGGCCAGTCATGCCACAGACTCTTCAAGAGCTAAGACTGGCCTTTCAAGAAGAATATTAAGCAATTCCCCAAATACGCTTAAGAAATTTGATTGACTCAATGTCACGACGGTTGAATGCTGTAATTAAGGCTCGAGGAAGAAGATATATATGCTATTAACATATATATCTATATTATTATCATATATTATTAACAACTATTAACAACCAGGAGGTCCATTAAAAACATCCATCATAATTTTTTAGGCATAAGAAAAAAAGTGTGTTTTTGTTCCGGTTCTGTTATTGTTTTAATTAAATTTAATTTTGTCTTAAACAATTTTATTTCGTAGTTATTCGTTGTAACCTAAATCGATAATGAATGGTTCTGCAACAAAATATCAATTCTAAGTTACATTAATTAATACTTAGGTGCTTTTATGAAATATTTTAGGGTGGCCGGTTTTTTCGCCGGTGTATTACAAGTAAATTCAAATTTACTAAAAATTCAATTATAGCAAATTTTATAATTATGCAATGCTTGAAAATTTAATATAGGCAGTTATAAAAAATAATTACTCTTACATTTGTAAATTTAAAGGGGAAAACACACTTTTTTGTTTTTATAATTGTAAAATTATTGAAAATTTGTAACTGAATTTCCACATGAATTTTCCAGTTTGCAAATTCAAGTCACAATCAGTGAAAAAATGTATTGCTTATGTCGGTAACATTACCAATTCTATCTTAATTGTCTGTTTGTAATTGTAAATTTTTACTTGCAATTATAAATTTCCTACAGAATGGAGTTACAATTCTACACTAAAAGAAAATCTACGAGTATATTTGTGTTGTTTGGCTAAATTTGTACTTTGCCAGTTTTATAGTGACGACAATGACCTTCATTAATGAAATATTTAATTCACACTCATTTTTACTTATAACTATACAGGCTGTTACAAATTCGCTTCTCACTACAGGGATCTAAGAGGTATGAAGTAGCTTAAATGGGGGCAAAGTTGAGTAATCAGGGGACCAACAGTATGCCTCTAAAAAATCGAGGCCCCCCATTTGAGCTACTTGGTATCTCTTACGGTTTTCAACATCCTTGTAGTGAGAATTGAATTTGTAACAGCCTGTATATTTGCATTGTGGAATGCAATATTTTATATTTAATTTTATGTGAAAACATATTACAGATTTGCAAATTTTTTCAGTGGATGTTCCATCGTCCATAGAGGGTGGTGAATCTAGTCAAGAGGCAAATAAATTGGAAAAACCCGAGGTGAAGTTACCAGAAAATTTGCCAGCGGATATTTTAGACCTAATAAATAGAATAAAACAGGCAGCACTGGAATATAAAGGTGAAGGGAAGAAGAGGTTCTTTTCAGATGAGGTCAACTTGATGCTTCTGAAGTATGTTTTGAGAGAAAATTCTAAAATCTTTTATTTACTGTTTTTTTCTGTTTTCAGTTTGGAAAGGAAATGCAAGATATTGGGTAAATCGTCAAGGGTCAGGATATACGATCATCTATCCTTATACACAAAGGTTAGGAAAGAGACTTTAAGTCGCCGTGCCAAAAACCTCTTCATAGAAGACGAAGAGAGGAGGCTCAAGAAATTAACGATTAAGCTGAAGGATAATATCGACCAAATCATGCCGTCGTTGATGATGAATTTCGAACAGGAAAGCCAAAGAATTCTACAGAAAAAGTAAGAACTTCATATTATTGGTGATATGTGTTAATAATTTCTCCGTTACAGATTTTCGAAAGAGAGTGCTGATTCTGAAGAAAATAAAGCATTGAAGATGCCCAAGAGGCGCTTCAAGTGGACTGATGAATCCAGGTAATTAATTTCAATATTAATAATTGTGTTAAAATAATATATTTCAAGAGCATATAAAGGTCATACTTTTTTATTTAATTTTGTTTACTGAATTTTGACTCGAAATTTCGTGTTTTTGTTCAAAATTTTTAATTTAAAATAACAAAAATAACACTGAACATTTAGATTTTTTTAGTAATTTTAGTAGTTGAATAGAAACTACAGATCCAAACTATAAATTTCAAGTTTCAACATCATTCTAATTTGCAGTTTGGAGTTTTATCTTCATATTTCGAATTTGAACTTGAAGTTTCAAGTTTCAAATGTTTGATGTTTTTATTCTGAAGTCAACGTTCCAAGTATGAGCATGTAATTTAAATTTTTTTCCAACTTCGAAAATGATATTTCTCATTTGAACCAATAATTTTAAATTTACATGACATTGCAAGTTTGAATTAGAAATTTTTGGTTTCAGCTTATAGACTAGGCGGTATCTGTTTTGGTTTGGGTGAATCGTAATCCACTGAGACTTTTAGCTTTCAAATATTAAATATTGGGTATAGGACCTTCATACTTGGCCCAAGAAAACTTCATGTTATGCAGAATCATCACACCAAATTTCATCAAAATTGGTTAGATAGATTTTGCATAATAATTTTGCAATCCAGATTTTGAAAAAAAAATTGCAAATTTTCAAAATCTTGCACAGCAAAAACCAAGGCCCTTAGATACTTGAAAATTTAATGACATATCGAAGGGCTCTCAAGCTTTCCAACGCTTTTTGAAAAATTTGAATCCGTCAATTAGGAGAGCTCTGGCGCTTGTTTAAACATTGGTTGAATTTTTGTACTTATAAACAATTAAATAACTTTGTGAATATTCAATTAATTCAAATTTTTTAAAGCAGGTTGTAAAAGTAATTAAAGTATAATTCAAATATTATTTATTGTTTAAAATATAAGCAAATGAGAAATTAACTCATTATATTACTAATTTTTGACATATTTTGAAAATTGTTGTTTAAACAATTTTAGAATATTTAAATAAATTTGTTTTTGATCTTTGATAAACAGTATATAAGTTTATGCACTTACCTTTGAAACAATAAAAAAATAAAGTTGATAATTAAAGGAAGTTTAAAGATAAATAATTATCAGACTGTTGAAAGAGGAAAGACCAATAATTATTAACGATAGGCATTTGAAAATACGTTAATTTTTTTTTTAAATCGCAAGACATCGATTTTAAACAAATGTTCAAAATCGGACCTCTAGAAGCTGAGATATTAAAAATTTTTAAGCACGTCGCAATTTTGAACTCGCCGATTCAATTTTGAGCAGGCCGAAGCGGCCGCGATCCCTGCTTCCCCCACCACCACCCGTACGATTTTCTTGAATTTCTCACTTGCATAAATAACTTTAATCACTTTTTAAAGTAGGCTGCCAATGAAGAAAAGTATTGCAAACTTAGACTTGGTAAGTACTCGGAATACCAAAGGTATTTTTCGAAAAATTAGCCCGGATGTCCCAGTACTTTTAGTGTAAATGACAGTTAACTTTGATCGGATATAACTATGTAACTAATTGACCAATTGATCTGTTTTTTTTAAAGAAGTGTCTTTTCAATAACTTTTAAAACCTATTTTAAAAAATTTGATTTGGTTGAATATTCACAAAGTTATTCTAATTGTTTATAAGAACAAAAATTCCACCAATGTTTAAACAAACGCCAGAGCTCTCCTAATTGACGGATTCAAATTGTTCAAAAAGTGTTTGAAAGTTTGAGAGCCCTTCTATATGTGATTAAATTTTCAAGTATCTAAGGGCCTTGGTTTTTGTGGTGCAAAATTTTGAAAATTTGCATTTTTTTTTCAAAATTTGGATTGCAAAATTATGTAAAATCTATCAAACCAATTTTGAGGCAATTTGGTGTGATGATTCTATATAACATGAAGTTTTCTTAAGCCAAGTATGAAGGTCCTATACCCAATTTAAAGACCCCAAAAAATTCCCTGAAGAGTAATGTTTTTTAACCCCATTTTTGGCGATTTTTTCGAATTTTACAATAATAATCATGATTCATTCAATTTGTAACTTGTCATATTTTATAAAAAATTTGATTACAAACATTTTTTTCCTCTTCCGTTTTCGCCTAAAATCAAGTCTTGAAAAGATACATAGGTAATTAAATAGGAAGAAAAATATGACATTTTTCGAATTTTTTCAACATATTGTGCCGCCAAAAGTTAAGCCCACATTTTATTTATGCACATTGAAAAATTTTCATTTCTATTGATATTTGAAAACCAAAAAGCCAAAAATCTCGGTGGATATACGATTCATCCAAATATTGTTGTCAACTAAACAGAACGATGTCATACATTTAGATTTTTTTTATTTTGTAAGTTTTGTGTCAGATTCAAATTAGAAATTTTAAATTTCGAGGCCAAATTTAATACTGAGAAGATGCATTTTGAAACTGTAAGTTTGTATTGCGAGTTTCAACTCGGAATCTCAAGTTTCAACTTAAAAATTCAAATTTAAACTTGAAATTTCAAAATTCAGTTTAAAATTTCAAATTTTAACCGTGAAATTCCAGTTCGGGTTTGAAATTTAATAAACACAAAAGTGTAGAAACTATGCAAAAACTTTTTTTTTTTGACTCTTGGATAAGAGAATAGTCAAAGTTAAAAACTATAAAAATTGAAAAAATAATGCTTGTTATCAGTATGTTAAGAAATTGTAATTGTTTCAGAAAACTACTGAAGGATATACTAAGCATAAAAAAGAGATGCCTCATACTGGAGGGCAAGCAGAAGGACAACCTGGAAGACCAAGTCTGTCAGTATTTGAGGAAGGAGATACTGCCGCTGTGGCCTGAGGGGTGGATGTACCTAAACTCTCTAAAGAAGGTGTACAACAACATGACGGAAAACGCAAAAATGCTGGAAAACAACAACTCGAAGAATGATACACCAAAGCAACATTCCGCTATTACGATAACACCAGTTTCGAATAACAAACCACCCAGTAAAATGGACGTTAGTCCCAACAGTGTCACCTTCAGCAAAATCGGTTCCAATGAAGCGAAAGCCGGCCCGNTTTGTATTGCGAGTTTCAACTCGGAATCTCAAGTTTCAACTTAAAAATTCAAATTTAAACTTGAAATTTCAAAATTCAGTTTAAAATTTCAAATTTTAACCGTGAAATTCCAGTTCGGGTTTGAAATTTAATAAACACAAAAGTGTAGAAACTATGCAAAAACTTTTTTTTTTTGACTCTTGGATAAGAGAATAGTCAAAGTTAAAAACTATAAAAATTGAAAAAATAATGCTTGTTATCAGTATGTTAAGAAATTGTAATTGTTTCAGAAAACTACTGAAGGATATACTAAGCATAAAAAAGAGATGCCTCATACTGGAGGGCAAGCAGAAGGACAACCTGGAAGACCAAGTCTGTCAGTATTTGAGGAAGGAGATACTGCCGCTGTGGCCTGAGGGGTGGATGTACCTAAACTCTCTAAAGAAGGTGTACAACAACATGACGGAAAACGCAAAAATGCTGGAAAACAACAACTCGAAGAATGATACACCAAAGCAACATTCCGCTATTACGATAACACCAGTTTCGAATAACAAACCACCCAGTAAAATGGACGTTAGTCCCAACAGTGTCACCTTCAGCAAAATCGGTTCCAATGAAGTGAAAGCCGGCCCGAAAGTGACGGAAATCAGTCCGACAAGCTCTCACCTAAGTTCGTTCAATATTAACAACTTAATCCCTTTAAAAACCTCTCAGCCGCAAAAGCCTAACGTTGTACAACCCGCCAGTACTGTTAAAGAACTCGAGAAGCCTAGGCCCGAGAAGGAGCACGATTTCAAAAAGGCCGCTGCATCACTGCCAGAGTCTTATAAGTTCAGTAGGAATCAGGAACCGACAAAAACACACCCTGACAGCAGCGTGATCATAATGAATTCCCGAAAGGACGAAATCAACAACTTACTGAAGGAGAACAAGGAAGTTAACGCTGTGATATCCAAAACCCCACACTGCCAGCTGATCGATCTCACCGACGCACTGGAGGACAAACGCAAATTGAAAACGGAGGAAATTAAAACTTACAAGTTCAAGAAAGAGCCACCCGTGCCCAGTTTGATCAGTTCTACCAATTCCAACGATTACACGGATGTCACGAAATTATCTAGCAAGCACCCAGAACTGAGCGTTACGCCCGCCTTCACCCAAAAACCTTCTTCAAAGTCGGACGGCGACGAGATCCAAATGGTTATGGAGAACCTGAAGGCGCTGCAGAAGCTCTCGTCTCCCATCAAAGCCGATAACCCCACCAGTTCCCCCGTTTCCGTTATAGCGTACAATAGAAGCTTCTCCCCGAAATCAAACTCGAGCCAGAGTAGTCCCGGGCACCGGGGCAGCGAGTTCAACCCCAAAACCGACTTCTCGGGTAGCTTCCAGGACGAGTTCCAGAAACAGTTTATCAATTCCCTGCAGCAGATGGCCACCGCTTCCAGTTCGAGCAAGCCGAGTTACAATAGGTGCAGTTAGTGGAACATTCGTTTCGTATCGTTTTGTTTGTCTGACAATTGGTATAGAGGAGTAGCCGTCATATTGACGGTATACCTACATGTTCAGGTAAGAGATCGGTGTTTGTATAAGTCAATCATTATTCATGGTTGAAATGGGAAATTTCCTTAAAGTTTGCTCGCACATATCTTATAATTATTATTATTATTAACCCACCGTAATCAAACAATTTCATTATCAAGTCGCATCGCTTAAGGGATTAAGTCACTGTAACGGCCTAAAAAAGCGTGTTTTTGACAATTTTTTTTTTAATAGAAGGAAAGGTAATAGAAAAAAACTCTAAGTACGTTACTAGAGATGTCGGCAAACTCCGATGATGCGGAGTTAACCTTTCTCTCGGGCCTCGCTATGCACGGCATGGGCACCGCTATACGGTGCTTTCCTCGTCAGTTGGTAAATGTAACATTTTTTGGAACACCCTATACAGTGTAAACTCTTTTTAACGAATTTTAAGGAACTGGGGATTTTTTTTCTTTATAAAGAGTTTTTGTTATATGGAGGGAAGAAGGAAAAATAACCAAATTTCTCCAATTGCAATAATTTCCAATTTTATTGTGTATTTTCAATAGGTAATTAAATTATTCCAAACACATTCGAGGACTTCATAACAAAGGGGCGTATGAATCAATTTACCATTTATAACAGGCGTATGTTCATACGCCTCTATGTGATGTTCGAGAGATGTAAGATGGTTCATGCACCTAACATAATAACGCCTATAAAATTTTAATTATTGTAAATACCGATACGCCTGACTAAGGAACTATGCTCCACCTTTTTTGTGGCTCATACGCTTGAAAATACAATTTTCGTGATATAGGTTCATACGCCCCTCTGTTATGAAGCCCTCGATATATTCTGTTAACTTTGCCTGTTGTGCTGTGCCAATATTTGTTTTGTATTTTCTTAAGTATTTTATGCATGTCTTGGGATGTGATGGAATCATCTTCATGAAACAATAAGAATTTTTTGATGAGTTTGGCGGCATCAAGTGCTTGTTGAACAGTTGGTGATGGTTCAGAATCGCCCACTTGATCATCTTTATTATCTTCATTTGGTTCCTCTTTACTTTTTGACACTGAATCAATAATGTCTTCATCAGTGAGTGAAGCGTTTGTGGCCAGGTCCTGATCTATATTTTCGTATGTTTGTAAATCTTCGCAGAAATTATTCGGTTGTATGCTGAACTGTTTAATCTAATCACTCAGTGGTAGATTGTCCTCACTACCAAACTGTTCTGTTTCCACTGTCTGACTGTTACATAGTCCCGCGTGACCGCTGCTATTACCTCTTTCCAGGCTTTCGATATGAAATGTACTGCATGTAGTATATTAATCGAGGTCTTGCCGTCAGTGCAAGATACTGGTTGTATATGCTGGGAAAAATGCTAACTCTATGTTTCGAAGATTGGTTATAAAAGGGTGGGCAGGGAAATTGTCTACTAGAAGTAAGATTTTCCGTCCCTTTAATTCAGCATCCCATTTTCTAACTTCTTTTTCAAAGAACTGCGATGTCATCCAAGGTGACTTGTTCGCTTTATATGTGACTGGCAAGTGTTTTATGTTCTTGAAACACTGAGGGTTTTTCGATTTGCCTATAACCAAGAGCTTTCTCTTTTTCGTGCCGCTCATATTGGCAGCTACTAGAATGGTAATATGCTCTTTAGAGAGTTTTCCTCCCACACATTTTTCTCCTTTGAATTTAAAAGTTTTGTCAGGCGTCAACTTGAAAAATAGTCCCGTTTCATCAGCATTGAAAATGTCATTTTAATTTAGGCCACACGTTATTAATCCAGTCATAAGTTACATTCATATCGACATCTCGCGCCTCTCCGTTCATTTTACCATAGGTATTGTTATGACAGTGCTTAAATTTTTCAAGCCAACCTTCTGATGCTTAAAAGTCAGTTGTTCATCTAATTGTTTGGCAAACTTCTCAGCCTTGGCTTTAACAATTGGCCCCGAGATGGGTACATTATTCTGGTGCTGATTGTTAAACCACGACAACATTGCTTCGCATTTTGGCTTCCTTAATTTTTTAGTGGACACTCCCTGCAGTTCCGCCTGTAGAATTGCTTCTTTGTTTTTCCAAATGGTAGCAACAGTAGATGGACTGAGGCCTAAACGTATTCCAACATTACTTTTCTTTTCTCCTTTTTCTACCGCACGTATCAAACAAATTTTTTCGTTAACATATAACACTTCTTTTACTGGCCATCTTGACAGTTTTAAAGTAGGTTTACGACTGATAATTCACAATAGGTGTCTAGTGCGTTTAGTAACTGAGTGCAAAATTTCCTAGAAACAATGTAATCCAAGAGTAATGGCACACGTGTTCCAGGCAATTAGCAATAACAAAAGCAAGGCAGTTGTTTACGACCTCAAGGTCTTTCTTAGAAATTTCGGCACCTCAAAGATTTAGTCGGAACCTTTTGTAAGCTGATTATAAAAAGAATTACACTATAATATATAAATATTTGCTGGCGTCTAAATATGAACATATTTCTTCGTAATAGAGAATGGCTGTTGCGCTATAAAGAGTTTATTAATGTGTGGGTTTTGACGTAAACCAACCAAATTGACCTAATTTCTATGTTATAGGAAGTTTTTTGTTATGAAGAACGACGTTATAAAGAGTTTACACTGTATATAAAGGTCATCAACATCGTAACTTCATAATTATATCTGGACCGTTTAAAGTTCAAAACAATATTTTTAGACCTCCTGTGTATAAAAACCTATTTAAAAAGTTATATTTTCTTCTTATGGAAAGATTTAAAAAGAAAACTCCATAATGAACGTAAAATATGGTAATAAGTAAAAAAAAATCATAGGGATCTCGTGCGAGATTCAAATCGTCGACCTCCGGGTTGCAACGCAACACTTTTACCACAGCCATTATTGCCTCTAGACAGAGTTTGTCCGTATTAGTATTTGAATTCCTGTTCATAGCCGAAGTAAACAAACATTTTCGTAATGTTAAAAATTTTATTTTTCTGTAGTAAAATCGTCCGTGAAGGACTCTGAATAGTATAAAACATAAAAATAATCGCCCATCGCCGTACTGGCGTCGCGTTGTACCAGTCGCCATTCGTAACAGGCAAAAAGTATTTGTTTTGGTAGGTATTTTGTATATTTTAAATACTCAAAAGTATTTAAATTACATTTAGTAGATTTTAAATACTTTTTTAAAATACAAAATAGAAAATACTTTTATTAAAGTATTTGAAGTACAAAATATTTTTGGGGTTATAACAAAAATATTTTAATTACAAAATACTATTTTATATTTAAAATACTATGGTGTTTTTCTTGTCAAAATACTCCCAGCTCTACTGTTGATACTGTGCATTAAAGAAATACATGTCAAGAATCAACGATCAATTATCGATACTGGACTATACAGATAACCCCCATGGCTGCTGTACAGGGTGAGTAGGCATACGGCGCCAAAATCTCATGCCTTTTCACGCCTGGGGACACCTTACGCATCCCCGCCCTTCAGGGCTCCCGTGTAGGTCTTTGCTCCCGGAGTCCACCACGTAGGTATGCCCCATGTTTCCGCGAGGCTTAGGGCTTCGCCGCCGTCCCCATGTAGTTCTCCTCTACACAACATCTAGGGCCCCTATTGAGACAGTGCATACAATTCTGCAAACACGCCGCCAGAGGGCTTTGCCCCGTTGTGCCCAACGTACCCCATTCAGAGGGCGCCTAGTAGTCTCTGCCACAACGACCAGTCTATTAACGGCTTGTATGCGTGGCCGGTGCGGTTACCCTGTGATATTTACTAACTTTAATACATTTAATAAAATCAGGGTCTAGGGCTGCGCTAGCGTCCAACGAAGCAACAGGCAGCGCAGGCGTAGTTACAAATGTAGCCACACAGTGCTCTCTGCAAATAGTTCCTAAAGGGGACGAGCGCTTATCAGTAGATGGCGCAGCAAGTGGAGCGCGGACGATGGTCCGTTAGAATGATAAGCAACTTTGAGAATCATCATCAGGAATTTGCGCAGATAAGCGACATGAGCGTCATTCATCAGAATATTGTTATCAGTAGAAAGCGTTATCAGCTAATAATGTATATTGAATAATACTTAAATATAGTGGCATTACCTACTTGACACATAACAACGAATTAAAATCTAAGTGTTATCATAATTCGTGAGTAGTGCTGTGTCTGCCGCTTCTTAGCCCATAGAACGTCCTTGTCCTGCAGACATGGTGCACGACAGTCTGCTGCTTCTTAGACGGTCTGGATATTCAGGGTATTCGTCAGGTACAATGTAGGAACCTAGAGAAGAGGCATGGAATGAGAAAAATCTCAATATGTGTACAACATTTATTAATATAAATCAATATTCTTTCTCTTTTTATTTTTTAATAACTTTAATTTTAAAATATATAAAGTAAAGGAATGTAAAAATATGTAATGTAATGTTATGCTAGTTACTATGCAACGGATTTTTCAATATACCACTCATTCAATAGTAAAAAATGATTTAGAAGTTGTAAGACGTTCACGTTCAACCAACTAGTGTTTCTATACTATGTCATTAAAAATTAGTGCTCGCATGACCTGAGAGTATCTTTTCAAACTAGCATATTTTACTATTTATTGAATCAGTACAACAAAAATGACGACCTGAAATGCAGAAACTCTAAGCAACTCACCCCGTTTTTGTAAACTAGGTCGTTTTGTAGCTTCTCTCTCTCATCAGAAGTTGTTGATTCCTCCCGCTCTCACCCTCTCGCATTGTTGCTCTTGTCTATCTCCCTCCATCTTACTAAAAAAAACATACATTTCTTTAATGAATTTGCTTTTACATCCTTTTTTTTTTGTATGCCTATAAGTTTTTAGCGTTCAATTTTTATGTGCTGAAATACTGTGCTTTATTTTTCTTTATAAGATACCTAGTCTATTTTGTAGTCATGAGAATTTTTTAATTTTTTCTATTGAAATAACGCGCTGTATATCACAATAGTAAAATTTTAAAATAGGAATTTTTTGGTTTGTTGTTAAAATAACACACTATATTATACGATTCTTATACTTTCAGGATTTCTAGAAATTTATATATGATTTTCGGTTTGTATTTTTCAGATGCTAAAATAATGATGATACGGATAAGATTTTTATGGTTTGATTTTCGCTTGCATACAGATTTTTCATTCTAGTGAATCGTAGCTGTCTTTTTTTGCTAAAGAATATTTTTCTAGTAATAAATGCAACTAACTTATATTTATTTCCTTGTTAAAGTGAAGTACTTTAATGTTACTGTTTTTGTGAAATAGTTTCAATCGTTCGTGCAACTTACCTTTTATCCAAAAGTAAAGCACTATCATACTTATTGGATTATGCACGCCACCACCTGTAGCACTCACTAGACGCACCTTTTTCATATATATCACCAACATTTATTTGTTGTGGTCAACGTTTTAAATTGACATGGCTTTTATTAACTATTTTGCTTCAAACAGTCTATAGGATGTTGATAAAAACTATCACATATGTAGGTGTGCAGGCAATGTTAGTTTTCTTATCGCACGTAGCCAGACCTAGGCATTATTTTTAACTGAATATAATATAGCATTAATAATTTAAACTCTCTTTTGTAAAATAAAGTTATTTCAATACAATTGGCGTTCTAAAAATAAACATTAATTTACTATTTAAAACTAAAAAATGATAGACAAATAAAATATTGTTGAAATAACTAATAGGTATTAGGTACTATACAGTGTGATCTTGATCACATGGGCTTTAACATGGCATGACAGTATTAAGAAGTTACAAAGCTTACTATACAGTTTAATCGTATACAAATATTTAACATATGCTGCCACTCTTAAAACAGAATAGTTTCTATTTTAACTCTTACATATTAAATTGATTTTATTAAAAGTATTAAAGTTAGTAAATATCATAGGGCAACCGTGCCTCCTACGCAGGCAAGTGGTTAATAGACCGGTCAATGTTGGTGGAGATTACTAGGTGCCCGCGAAATGGGGCGCACCGCGGCAAAATCCTAGGCACGGGCCACCCGGCGGTGAGTTCACGGAGTCCTACGGGCTGTCTTAATGGCCGCCCAAGAGACATCTCGACGTTGTGTAGCAGAGTCCTACATGGAGACCATGATGGGGGCGAAACCTTACACCTCGCGGAAACATCGGGCCTACCTATGTGGTGGACTCCGAGGGCAAAGACCTACATAGGACCCCTGAGGGGCAGGGGTGCGTAAGGTTTCCCCACGTGTGACCTTGAAATGTTCAAAAATGAACAGGATGAACCTTCATAGAAAAATCATGGGATTTTGGCGCTGTACGCCTATAGTATACCTACTAGGGTAAAAGATCACGTTTTAAATTGGAAAAAAAAATGTCACATTTAGCGCCATCCCAGGTGACCTTTAATATCGAAGCTGTCGTATGTCGCAGTGCGAGAGTGCTGATGGCGGTGTTGACGGTTTAAATTTCGTGTTCAAAAATGGTGAAATTGATTGAAATTCTGTTTAAAAGTAACACAAAAATTAAATGAATAAACGAATTATTTACCAATAGACGATATGCTCTACAAAAACAGGTATTTGCATCACACAAATAGTGAATGTTGTGAAAATTTAGTATACCATCTCCCGAAAAACAACATTCATCCATAAAAAGCACCTTGCTTGTAAAATCCAGATCTTGTGCTATTTAATGTCGAAACCACGGGCAAAATTCCACACGGTGCTCACTTTGTTATTTAATGCCTGAACCATTTCTACATGACATGGGATGTAATAACTGTTCCCGTAGTACACACCACACGGTACTGTTAGATACACCCACTTCTCAGCCAATGTTACAAGTAATACTGCATTACAACGCACGTGCACAAGATGCACATTGTCGGCTTACATTTATGGTTAATTTTCTTGAAAACAGGCATTTAGACAATCGGTTGCTTAATAAAAGTTGCTCATTTTCGTATCCTCTCTCCCTTTTCAAGGAACCCACTTGTTTCAGAAACACCCTGTATATAATAACTACTTTTTACAGTAAATATACAAATATGTTCTGAAAAATATAAATTTTTGGCAATTCCTAGTAACATGTTGAATCCTTATTCTTTATTATCGTACTTATGGGCGATGTGGATCATTGACCAAATTGACCACTGGTGCCTTTATATTTTCATAATTTTTATAATAAGTATGGTTTATTAACTAGTTGCTAGTTGGGACATGTAACCCATAGATATCTGGAAAACTGATGGATTTTTCGATAATATCTGTCCATTTGAATTTGAGTTAAAAAAATTAAATCACCCTATTTGCACATTTTAATTTATAATAATTTAATTTCAGTAACTCGTCGCCTGTTTTGTCTCCATCAAACAACTTTCTATTGTAATGAGAATTCTGTTCTAAGATGGAGTCAAAACATAAAATTATAAATTATATTTTATGTTTTTCTTATTTCAAATAGTAATAATTATTTTGTTTTCAGCTTCTTAATCGAATTATCGACAGCAGAACTGTACTTTTTTTATGTAAATATATATCATACTGCCTACCAATATAAATATATATCAATATTGTAATTATTCCTTTGTTTTGTAAATTAAAATTGTTCAAATTAGTTTTTTTTAGTCATTCCTTTGTAATTAATTTATTTCAGCAATGTATATTATTAAAATATGTTGTACTTTTTAAATATATTTTTTTACCCGACTTTAAATATTCCAATTAAAAAAAAGTACCTAGAGTTAGCTTCTTTATTAACAGTTTATTTTTGGACAATTATAAGGATCGTTATTATGCCAGTTTAGTTGGTTTTACAAATACCCTTTTCCTCTTTGATTTTTTCCTATCCACATCCAATTTCTGTAATTTCGACTGAATTTCACTAAATATTTCTGTTTGTTCTTCCTCTGGAATTGTCCTCCTAGGAAACAAAGATGTAACAAATTAGAAAAATGATGTATTATGTATTTAATTACTTACATATATTCTTTCATAAGGTCATATTTCTCCCAAGGCTTAGCAAGTTCAGCAGCTCTTTTATAGAATTTCTCAGGTAACTCCAAATCCTGTACCCCTTGCAAATTTTTCCTTTCCCACCTTTCCAGCCATGGTTTAGGCTTAAGTTTCACTTTGATAGGATTTACTGGTACTAAAGATCCTATTAAAAGAGCCATTTTATTAATACAATACACTTTTGAACACTAAAATTATTTGTTCTTAAAAGCAAAATATTCCCGTTTATGGGAAATGTTACCTTCTGGTATAAGTTCTGCTTCCATATTGGGATCAAAAGTACTATACTCTGGTAAAGCATCCCTTAAATAGAATAATTCATCGTCTAAACGTTTTTCTAATCTTAAAATTTCAACTTTCTGTAGTGAAGGATCGTACATTTCATACATAACTTCTATTCCCTAAAATAAAATTTTATATGGTTTCTTTAAGTGCCCTGTTTATGTCAATCAATATTTATCTATACGATCTAAGGTCACAAATACAATACTAATTAAACAAACCTGGTGGTCTATAACATTTCGTAAGATAAAGTTTGCTCTAAGTCCACAACCACCACGATATATACAAATTCCAACAAAGCGATGAGATTTTCCTGGGTTATGTTTATCTGAAGATGTAACTGCTAATATAGAACCTAAATACAAAATAAATATTGCTTTGGACTATTCCCTATTTTTACATTATTTTACTCACCAACATAAAATTCTGGAATATCAACCTGAGTCCTTCTGGCTATCATATCACTTCTTTCCAGTTTTTCTCTAATTTGATTCCTAAACTCAACTTTTGGATCTGGTAAAAATTCGGGATATACATATCGAAATTCCGAAATTTCCTTTTTTAATTTTTCTCTTTTCAATCGACTCAGCTCATTTTCGGTTTTTGGTACTGCACTAGAGAACCTCAAAACTAAATAAGACCTACCATTAGATTTTTTTTATTTTCATTGCAAGAAATTACCTTTGCATGATTTTGAAATCTTACTGACGGAATTTCTTGTAAAGATTGGTAACATATTTTTAACCACTAATCAAACACAACAACAAAATATTGTTAATGATAAACATAAATTCACATTCCAAATAAATTCTAGCTTAGAGCTTTCAACTTCTACTAGTTCTACTATTTCTAGGTTATTTTTTTTTAAATCATTTCTGACATTTGACAATTTTGACTTGACATTTGGATCAGATATAACCCCTGAAATAGTGAAATACCATTCGATTTTTAATGGTGTTTCATACTCGGGTTCGGTTTGTGCAGTTAAGGCCAAGACCATCGAGTTTATAACCTACGCTGTCGAGACGTGGTTGGAATTCGTTGATCGAGACTAATTTGTAAAACAGGTGATTGTTTTGTTTTTCATTCGCGTAATTATTTCGTTATCCAAGTTATTTAATTTTTCATTATCGATAAAGAAACAGTGAACAATTAGCAAATATTAATTGAAGTTAATTTGTAAAGTCAAAATATGCTTTTCAACAAAACTAAACTAAAGTAGCCATGAGGCCTTTCGATTTAGCAAAAATAGTAGATATTAGAGATATGTGGTATTAGTAGCTAATAGCAACTTAGAGTTACTCTGAACTGATATTAGTTGCTAATAGGTTCTATTTTTGCCAAAACGAAAGCCCCCATGTCATTGACTACACCAGCTCATAAGAAATTATAGCCGTTTTCTTTCGCTCTCAGCTTTGAATCATGATCACTAAATCAAGATCAGACAAACACGAACTTGATCCATGAATCCAATTTCGAAGAGAACAGGATTTTGTTTACTGTTGACATTTGATTTGATTTTAAATATCGTTTAGGTATACCTATTTTTGTGTACACAATTAAAATAAGAGAGCTTTCTTATAGAAAAAAGAAACCACTACAATTTTAAGATTATATTAAATATGTGATCGTGATCAAAAGTTCGAATCACTGAAAAAGTTTGATTCGTAGGGGAAAGGGGATTACCGATCCTGATCATATAATCTGACAAGATCCTGAAACAAGAAAACGACTACGAACATAATTTTGGAATCATAACGCGTTTAGATCCGAAAACGGCATCCGAAAGAAAGCAGCTTATGTTGCAAGCTTATGTTTTGTGTTGCAAGCGTTTGAAGGGCGGAGTTGAAGTGTGTTCTATTGGTGATAAAATACTTATGACTCTATTATGGGTTATGACATTAGCCACGGAACTAAAATCCAAAATAAAAATTATTAAAACTTAAATTGACGTGTGTTTGACACTTAATTAAAGAAAATAAAATGGCTGCTGTTGTATTTACTGGATCAAAATTATTAAGTAAGATTAGACTCACTCCTTAAGTCTATAATTAAATATTAAGATGAACAAAGAATCATGAATTTTGTTATTGACGTTACTCTCTTTGATAATATCAATTGTATGTATATTACATAACCTAACCTTAAAATATTTTTAGGGCAACAATCGGGAATCATAGGCATTGCGTATGTGCGATCAAATAACTATAGTTCTGAAGAAAATGTTTATAATTTGGCTACATTAAAAAGAGGAACAGGGGGTCGTTCCAGCTTCAATGGTATTGTAGCGACAGTATTTGGTGCTACTGGATTTATCGGTCGATATGTTTGCAACCGATTAGGAAAAATAGGAACTCAAGTAATTATATTAATATTAGACACTACTTGTATTAGTTATGTACATCTTACTTAATTTTCAGTTAATTATTCCTTATAGAGGTGATAGTTATGAACCTATGAGGTTGAAATTGGTTGGTGACCTGGGTCAAGTATATTTCCACCATTACCATTTGAAAGATGAGGAATCGATAGCAAAATCCATTAAATATTCTAATGTGGTAGTAAATTTAGTCGGGAGGGACTGGGAAACCAAAAACTTCAAATTTGATGATGTTCACGTAGAGGGAGCAAGACGATTGGCTAGAGCAGCCAAAAAGGCTGGTGTAGAGCGTTTTATCCACTTATCAGCTCTAAATGCTTCTGAGACTCCTGAAGAGGTAACTACTTTTGTCAAATATCGTAATTATTGGCACTTTTTTTAAGCCCGTTTGAAAATTATGAATTGCACGATATGGATTTAATTGAACCTAAATGCAGTAATTTTTTCAGGTTATTATTAAAGGGGGGTCAAAATTTTTAGCCAGTAAAGCTAGAGGAGAACAAGCGGTTCTGGAAGAATTTCCAGAAGCTACTATAATCAGACCAGCTGATGTCTATGGGCAAGAAGATAGATTTGTGAGGTAAGAGGTTATTTTTAAAAATATTTACTTTTTTTAATTTCCATTAAGTTGATTTTCAAAGTTGTGTTTAAAAGTTCAATTTTATTGTTTAATGTAAAACCTACCATTCCTAAGAAACATTTATATTTTTAATTTAGGGAACTATCAAAATTTCTCCTTTTATGTATTTTGTTTTTCTTATATTTAACATCTTATTTAGATATTATGCTCACTCTTGGAGGAGGCAAGGCCAGTATTTTCCTCTTTGGTATAAAGGAGAACGGACAATTAAGCAACCTGTTTATGTCGGAGACGTAGCTGGAGGTATCGTGGCTGCTATAAAAGATCCCGACACAGCTGGGAAAATATACCAAGCAGTTGGGTAAGTCTTCAGAGTAGAGATGGGCGGAACATCCTCAATCAATGTAGTCAGATTTTAAGAATGATCCCAGTGAGTCGGCTCCTTAAAGATCCATCTCAAATCTCAGATCTTTGCAGGCACAGGCAGATTGAAGGTGCCGGGTACCAACAAATATTTTGAAGTTTTAGCCAAATCAATCAAATTTGTTCACTATACTGGCTACAAACATCCAAGCTTCACATCTCTTCTTAGTTTATTTAATAATCAATTTTTTTTAGTCCCAAAAGGTACCAGCTCTCCGAGTTAGTAGACTACTTCTTCAGAGTGATGCGGAAGCACGAAGAGTGGGGCTATACGCGTTACGACATGCGTTGGGACCCTCTTTTCCAGCTTAAAGTCACTTTAACCGATAAACTGTCCATCAACTGGCCCATTGGTAATTTACATTGGGAGAAAATCGAAAGGGAACACTTGACGGATTGCGTCGTCCCAGACATTCCTACCTTGGAAGACCTGGGTATCACCCTAACGACGGTAGAAGAACAAATTCCGTGGGAGTTGAAACCTTGGATTTATGGAATTTACCAGGGACGGGATGCCGACGAGCCCGCAACGTCAACCGAACCCCCCAAGGTGGCCGTTTCTTAAAACGATTTTAAGTTTTGTTTGTTTTATTTATTTACACCAATAAAAACATTAAGTACAGAGAATATGTAATACTATATAAAAAGATAGATAAATTGTACTTCCTGTGTTGTACGTAACTAAAGAAATATATGTTAAATATTACATGTGTAGTGTAAATATAAAACCCGTATTTGTAGGCTAGTGTAACGGTTAAATTCTAAAAAAAAAATTAATTTTTAATCAAATTGGCGATGTATATTTTATTTTTCCGATAACGGTAAAAGCTGCCAAGTTAAAAAATGTACTCATATTGGGTGTCCGGTTTTCAAGCCGCACGATTCAGGTCTTGGTTATCTTAACAGAATCAAAATTTCGCCTACCCTCTTATTTTCAAATACGCTGAACGCAAATCTGAAGTTATTTGTATACAGTCAAACTCGGTTTTCGAACCGGTACACTGCACAGAGCACTCAAGTCCTCGCTGCTTACAACACTCAAAAATCAAAATAATAGTATAAAATAATTGTTTGAATATTGAATATTTCGCCACTTGCCATTTCCATAGGCGCGGCGTTTAATACTGTTACTCCCCACTAGTCCCCACCACAGTAAGACCAGAGGTTATTTGCTTGTAGGTGTGTCACACTTGCCTACAATACAGTTCCCCCTCCATGCGAGGCGGTTAAAATAACGTGATTTACGAAGGAACTTAGGCCAGCTCAAAGGTGCTTATAGTTTCAGTTTGCGGTTAATGTACGCATCGCATAGTACGCAGGTAGTGTCTGATGTCAGTGTGAGAGATAGTACAAAAGGCTTTAAGGGTAAGGACAAGGCAGGTATTAATTTAAAATAAATAAAAAACAACTTCCTTACAACAAAACAAGGTAAGACTAAATTTAACATAATTAATTGATACTATATTATGGATGTACATAGATAATAATGAATCTCGCTCATGATATTGTTTTATCTGTACTTGATATGCCTCTTTCAAGCCGTAATGAAGTACAGAAACAACAAATTTTGAATAGTTGGCCAATGCCGAAACTAACGGCAATTTTTAACGAAAAGAGAAGAGGTCGGGAAAGTTCGCGAAATTTTCAACATTCTTGGTGTGATACTTATTAATGGCTATGTGGAAGTTCATATAAAGCAAGTTTGTACTGCTGGCCATGTATTATATTGGGTAATGCAAAAAGTTTGTGGTATTCAAAAGATGGTTCAAGTTCGTAGCATGGCCGCTTGGGGGCGCAATCTACATATCAAAACATAGAGTTGTAAGAAGTATCCAATTAACGGACAATTGTGGCGCCCAACGTGGGGCGCCACAATTGTGAGGTTGGGGTTCAGGTATCCTAAACAGCAATGGTTTGTCACTAACTTAATTGTAAGATATACCCAATAAAAAAAAACTAGTTTAAGTTAATGACAAACCATTGCTGGTTAGAATACCTGAACCCCAACCTCGCAGAGTTGAATTTTTCCCAGAAATGTTTCCTTTTCAGGTAATAGTACAAATATGGATAGCCGGATTCATTGCGCATAATTTTTGATATTGACATTTTGTTCTATCCCTCGACAGAAAGGGAATGTCTGATAAAAATACATTCTTCTAAGGATAGGCTCTTCAAAAGCCCATAGTGTTATACCTCGTTAGAAAGGTCTTTTCATGCTTTATCTTCTTTTAAAATGCATTTTGTTTTGGTAAATGTAAATGTTTTTTCGTTGGCGTCGTGTTCCTCAATTCATTATCATTATTTACTTTTTGCTCACTAATTTGTTAATAACTTGATAACAAAACATATTGAACCCTTTTTGGTGTCAAAATATAGTTATTTTTATACCCTTCAAACACCTAAAAAATAAAATTTATCCTGCTATTTCACTTTTTTGAGAAAACGTGAAATGTTGGATAAATCGCACCAATAAATAAACAACACTTCCGATAGAAATTTCAAACTTTACTATAAATTTTTTGTGCTGAATTCATTTATGCAAAGAAAACTATAGCATTGCATTTAAAATTTTTGAGAAAAATCCATAAAACTGCATTCTTTTGAAACAACTACATCTAAAGGTTTCCATATTGCGGTAAATGACATCACGCATTCATCACGAGATAATTTCTGTCGAGAGATAGAACAAAATGTCAATATCAAAAATTATGCGCAATGAATCCGACTATTCATATTTGTACTATTTAATATACCTGAATAGGAAACACTTCTGAGAAAAATTCAATTTTGGTATGTAGATTGCGCCCCCTAGCGACCGAGCTACGAACTTGAAAACTATTTCCAGCGATTTCTCTTGGTCGATTTATTGATCAAAAATTTTTTCCCGGACCTCTAGGGCCTATACTTTCTCTAATATCGTACTTCGCCAACCTTAGTGGGACACCCTGTATAATGAAAATGTTCGCAAAAATCAATTATTAATTGGCTATTTAATTGATGTGACTACTACGTTGGGCAAACAAGAACTAGCTTTCCGAGGCCATAATGGAACGGTAGTCTTCAAATCATGGAAATTTTAAAGAAATATTTTAAAAAATGCTTAATTAAACGAAACCAGGAACTTACTGAACATTGCGAAAAATTTTGCTTTTAAAATAAAAAATAATTTTATTAAATGAATCGAATGAAGTATTCCAGTGGTTTTTATTGAGCGGATTAGTAAAATAATCAAACAGTTGCGTAAATATTTCTATTTCTTATAAAATCTGAATGAAAATCCTCGTGAAGATCAGTTTGAGGTCGAAGGGGGAATTTAATAAATTCAGATTTATTTGAGAAGCTGAGCTGACACAATGGGTATGTTTTTGTCAGGAATTGGGCAAACTTTTGGCGATAGAATCAATTGTCTAAAAGTATCGAAAGAGGACGTTAGCGCTGAACGTGTTATGATAATCAAGATGGTGCGGCTTCAAGAATGGGCACATAGAATCAATTGTCTAAAAGCATCGAAAGAGGGCGTTAGCGCTGAACGTGTTATGATAACCAAGATGGTGCGGCTTCAAGAATGGGCACACAATGCACGTTTATTCAAGTTTTAGGTAGAGCCTAATTATTTTCATACACTTCTTGACAGACAAACAGATTTCCACCATTTAACAGAATCAACGCAGAGGTGCAAAATCAGAAACAAATTAACTTAAAATCTATTCACTACTTTTTTATCAAGGTTCCTACCGGCACTTGCCGTTAATTTTTACATGAACTAATGTATTTCTCAACTCCTAACTGGTTAAAATCTAATGTTCTATTAGGCCTACAATAAACTTCACATTTAAAATCTAGTATAAAAAAACTTTATGACGTTGATGAAATTTAACGATATCTAAAAATGATGTTATTCATATGTTCTAGTCTGTCCCGTTCTACAGTGTACATATATTTAGGTCTAGACATTTATTATTCGTCACATATTTGGAGCTTTTACGATATTAATTTGATATGATATTTAGTCGCTGTCTGAATCGACACGAACCTGCTGGGCCCTCAGTCCTTCCTGCAACTGCATGACATGTTCGATGGGCTGCGGCTTACCATCCTCTCCGATCCTGCAAGGTTTGATGGTACCTGTTTTTAAGAGACTGTCCATTAAGTTAACCAGCTTCATGGCCTCGTACTCTTTCTGAAAATAATTTTAATTGCAACTAATGTGATTGTGAAAAAATATTCGAACATCTTCACAGACCTGTTCTTCGGTCATGTTATCCATAACGTTTGGATGAGGTTCCTCGTAGCAGCCTAATACAGGGTTGATTCCGTGTTTGTGGTCCGCGTATTCTTCCGTTTCGCTATCGCCACTGTCAGAACTATACTCTTCCTCTCCTTTGTCGTGGCCCCCTGCTAATAGACCTCTTTGGGCGAACAACCCAGCAGCGTTTCCGTATCCAGTGTACTTGATCATTCTTGAAACTAAAAAGATTTTCACTATTAGAGGAATTTAATGGTGTGCAAAATGCTTAAAAAAAAATAAGTCACCGTATTTGGGAGAAATATTTTAGCAGAGAAAAACTTATTTCTGCACTTTCCGTAAAAAATGTAAAATCAACAAAATCACGTACCGCTTTTTTTACACAACACAAACAACAGCTCGGCAACTAGATCCCTCAGCTGAGTAATTGGCGTTGTTAATAAACGACACAAATGGTTCCTTAAAGTTGTTCCCTGTTCCGGTCTAGAATGGACGTCTTTTAACGGGGGCAGTATCTGATTTCTCAGGAATTTTCTGATAGGCCTGTTGCTTGTAGCACCTTTGAGGACAACAGTTACTACAGGCGATAAGACTTCGTGTTGGTTGGAAACTTTCTACAAATAAAGTTAAACATAACGATGTTGTGGAAAATAAACATTAATTATTAAATTTAAAAGAGCGTTCTCAGTTCATATTTTAAGTTTTACTCGAAAATCAGGCTTTTTTCGAAATACATAAGAGTGTAGTAATTTGTAGAAAATTGAAAGATGAATACGAAAATATCACAGTTGTTACCGTAAGGCAGTAGCGTACTATTTTATTTAGAAAAATATGCCACCGATACCCTGTGTATCTCTGCCACTGACGCATGTAAATTTTAGGAAAAGCCCTCAGATTTTGGACAATGTTTACATAAATACATGTGCCCAATTTCAAATTATTTCACTTACCAGTTTTTAAATTATTTAAAAAAAATTAAAAATATTTTTTAAAGTTTAACACCCTGTATCTTTTTAACGAAGCGTCCTAGATAAAAACTTTATAGGAAAGACTCCCTTAAAATTCACCAAAGAATAGAAGGTTTCATTTTTGGTCACCATTTGTGAATTACCCTGCATATTAAAAACCATTAAATACCTACGATACACATACTATATAATTATCGAAACAAACTTTACTCACAGGTTCGTCATTGAATTTAGCCTTGAGGAACATCAAAATTTCATAGATAGCTGTCATGTTCTCCCCCTCAAATTGTAAATTCTTTGGCACTCTATGGCTGTCTTCGACTGGTATAAGAAGGTACCTGTAGCATTCGTTTGGTATATTGGTTAATAGATTGATAACGTTAGTCCTCAACATCCAGATCTTTTCTAAACTATTTGTAGAAATAAGCAAATAATTGCGCAAAATTTCAGTCAAGGTGATGACTAGGGCCATGACTTCTGCGTTTTCAGTATCGATATGCACTGTAAGATTAAAGAGGGCTTTCAAGAGCTCACATACTAAATCTGCTTGTTTATCCTGAAAAATAAATCTTAAATAGCATGAGAAGTTTCTTCAAGTAAGAGACTTACAGTTAAAAATATTGGTGGCAGTTCATCGTTGTGAGCGTGATTTTCAGCAGCTTGTTGAAGATTTAGTTCTAAAATCTCAATCAATGTTTGTAATTCTTCGTCTCTTAGTTTATTTCGAGAAGCTGGACATAATGCAGAGAGTAAAAACAAAAGTTTCATATCGAAAAACTTGATGTCTTCGGGAATATCTGCATTCCTAAAAAGGAAATCAAATCAGTATATACTTGCCACAATTTAAATAACTACTTACTTAAATTTTTTAATTCTTTCTACAATACCTTCCAAAATGCCATTTTTGCAACACTTGTCTGCTACAAGCCTACAGTTATATGCTATATTGCATAAGCTCTTTTGAGCTTCTAAACAAACAGAGACAGTTTCACTGTTGAACTTAAACTCATTTTCGTTCAAACCGATATGTTTTTTAATCAAATCAATCCAATCATCGGTGATCAATTCATTAAGGGCTTGCTTCTCTCGACTGGAAAGACATTAACGTTTATATAATATACATTTCAAATATATGAAGTGTAAAAGTGTTTACCTCAAAATTCTAATGGCAACAAAACAGTTTTTCAGAATATTATTATCCTGTGTAGTTTGAGCAGTACTACACAAACATTTCCAAAGTTCTTGTCTTTTAGTTCCTTCGCCGAGTTCAGGAAAACTAAATACTTGATCGACCTGGAACATAATTCATAGGTAATCCTAAACTATTAACAAAATATTTGGGTCTGTTTACCTTTTGTACGAAATTTTCCAAATGCTGTCCAAAAGAATCCTTATCAGCTTCTAACAGAGCATCTATTTCATTAGACATCTTAAGGAAATCTCTACGATATCCTTCACTAAAATAATAACAGACGATTACCTATTTAAGATTAATTTGTTGTCTTCTATTCTTCTAAATCTAAAAGCAGTAAAATAAGCCGTAACTTGTTTCGAGATCTCACATCTGACAAATCTGCCATCTAACCGTAACCTATAAAAATCAGAAATTAAAAAAATAGAAAATGTTTTCGTAATTTTTGCATACGGAAACTATGTTTTTGGTTTGGTTACTGTTGCCGTTGTAGTTTCCAAATAAGAGATGGCGCGCGCTACAAAAGTAAATGTTTTATGTCTAGGGCTATGAATCACGTAAACCAACTTTTAAACAAAAACAATTTTTTTTACGGTTTTAAGATAACAGTTCTTAGCCGCTAGTTGTTAAATTCGTTGTGCTTCGTACATAACTTTAATTTTATATCTAAACAGTAATAAAATTAAATTATTTTAAAATACTTATGTGTTTATGTGCTTTATCGAATGTTAAAACAAAACGAAAACCCCAGATTAATTCAAACCTAAAACTACCCGCATCAGTGAAACTAGAATGTATGAAATGAAACTGTTTTATTGTCTCTTTACCATATTGATTTATATGTAGGTATCTGATCTGTGATAAGGATGAAGTACCTATTCAAAACTTAATGGTTAGAGACCGACCGATTAATCGACTTCGGCATCCGCTTCGGCCACATTCGGCCATTATTTAAAGCTTCTGCTAACAATCGGCTTCGGCCAAAATTAAGCCGAACTTTTCGCCGAAGCCGAAGGTACCGTTCGGGACGCCGCTGGACTTAACAAATCTAACCAAATTAGGGTTAAATTAGCCCCTTAACACTACAAATAATACTGCCAAATTACAACAAAATTGGGTAAAGGGTGATTAAGATATTTACGAAATAGCATTTTTTTTATAAAAGATTAACACCCTGTATCTTGTAAACGAAGCATCTGCGGACTAATGTTTATATGAGCTTTTTGTATTAAAATCACTCAAATAATCGTCTGTTGAATTTATTGTTCATACTTAATTAACACCCTACACTTATATATTATATTTCCAAAACATTATGCATTTATTTTTGACATATTATCTTATCATATTTTTGTTATTAATTCAAATTTTCAAGTAATAAAAAAATGTTCGGCTTCGGCCAAAGGTGACCCATAAACCGAAGTTCGGCTTCGGCCAAAAAAATCACATTCCGTCGGTCTCTATTAGTAATAGTAGGTATTTAGAGTAGGTACCCGTTAAAACTTAACCCTTTAGGTTTAATCGACTGATTAGTTAGTAGTACCTACGTATTAAATATTTAAATATTCACAGATAATTTGGTAATTTTAAGGGAAGAAGTTTCTACGGTATATAAGAGCTTTTGATTTAAAACACAAGGTATGCATGCACATTTCTAAACAATGTTCGGCATGAGTAGATTATTGAAATTTTGGGGGGAATAGATACTGGAAGGCACTGTCACAAACATTTCGGAATTTTTGCATCACTATGTATTTTGGAAATTAGATATGTATATATTTAATTTCGTATCATATATTAAAAAATATATATTTTCCATTTTATTCGAAAAAACAGGGCAGTTATTAATATTTTTTTAGCATAAAATAAGCTACTACGGAGTGTTCGTTTTAAAGTTTAAAAAAGTCTATAGAAATATTTTGTTGTAAATACAATTTTGGACATAATGTAATCATTATCAATTTTGAATTTTCTTACCACCAGTAGGATGAATGTCAATGATTTAATTTCAAGATATTTTAGATTTATATTTTGTACGACAAGCTTATTTTAAACTAAAAAATAATAACTGGAAAAGGAGTTGGATTGCAAATAAAACGAAATAGAGGTTTTTTCTTTGAAATATTAAGGATTCAAAATAATCACTGGCGTCGAATTCTGGTGTTTTTACTGGGGGTACTTGTTTATTTTTCAGTCACAGGTTGATATAGTTTCATTAATCTAAATGAACATTTTCAAATATTTGCGCAATCTATTTGGCCTCAAAAAGGCTTAAGGCTTAGAGGTGTTTTAAAATCTTATGAGCTTTGACCTTCATATGCGCAGAAACATAATTCCGACCGTCGCCTAAATTATTCTGCGTGCTAAAAACATTACATTCATTATTCACAGTCTATCTCGAGCTCTCGCAGCGTAAACAAGCCTTTGCTCCGATTACAAATATCATAATAAAATGTTCTATTCTTTATTATTTTAATTTAAGCAATAAAAATATATATAACGTTCGCTAGTTGACTTATTGATGCCCGAGCGTCTTAGTTCATTTCTACTTGTAATGATGCACATGGTCTAGTTCTGAGTCAATGTTTTCACAACGTGCTTATTAGAAAAATTATGCGGATACACCACGCCTTTCGCGCATTTCGCGGGTCATGAGATATTGAAACACCTCTAAGAACTTACGTTCATAAGTTTATTTTTTTTTAATTACAAAGAATCATCCCCCTTATCATTGGAACGCAATGAGGATGTGCCCTTTATTTACAGAATGTACCCAAAATAATATTTTTCGTTTTTCAACTCTTCTTTTATATAATCGATGTAACTTTTTCCAAATTCTCTCGATTTTGATGAATGTATCTACAAAAAGTTAACTGGAATAACGGGTGAAATAACCTTTAGGAATAGATTTAGGAAAAAATCTTGTTATTCTTGTACTTTTATTTGTTTTGAGAAAAATCGGGCCTGTTTGTCGCAACAAGATGTCCAAAATTTCCGGAAAAATTAGGCGCTGGAGCATAAAAATTGCCGTTACTACTTTTAAAGATAGATATTTGCAATTTTCTATTTTTTCCACATTCTTGAAATTACTTTCACATTTTCCATAAATAACAAACCAATTAAAATAATCCTCATTAGTATAAGTTAAACGATCGCCAGGCATTTTTATTTACATTTTTGGCAAAAACTATTCAGACAATAATAATTTGACAACTAATAACTTGACAAATTAAATGTCAAGTTATTTCAATTGTTTTTGGAGTGTTTCTGGTCATGGAGTAATTTGACAACACGTCTGATACGAGAAAAAGTGTCCAAAAAACAGAAAATTTCAAATATCTCTAAAAGTAGTAAGGCAACCCTAATAATGCTTATATGGCTTAAAAAGAAATAATGCTTATATGGCTTAAAAGGAAATTTCAATCTACATACGACAGAGTAAAATACAGGGTATTCCATTTAAGTTAACAAAGTTATAGCTGTTTGAAGAATTTAGTATTACCTATGCCCTTTACATGTACCAAAAATCCACTTGATATCATGCTCCTGAAAAGAGTTACTAGCATCTCCGCGGATCCTTGCATCTGTCAAATTTTTTTCTTTAAATATTAACATGTCAAATTCTATAATTCCTAGGTATGGGGAATATTTAATAAAGTGACCCTCAAATTTCACGTAAAATCCTAAAATGCAATAACTTATAGTGTCCCATTTTAAATAACGAAGTTGGTGTCGACTTCCGGTATAACCGGAAGTGATGGAGAGTTCTAAATATTTTAGTTGTGTTCGCACCAGGGACATTGCCATGTTTCGAAATTTTCAAAATTTTCGGAGCAGTACTTTCTTAGATATTGATCAACGCAGTTCCCGGTAGGACACCCTGTATATATAAAAAATGTGTTTTTAAAATAAAGAACTGATATTTTTTCTTTTCGTTGTTTGCTTATCAAAAATTTGGGTATTTTTTCTATTTATATATTTGTATATTGTTCAAAATAAAATGTTATGTTTGTTAATTTGTGCTCGAGATTTGTTAAAAACATATTTTTCTCAATTTTTCGGTTTTTTTTTCAGAATTACTAAATCTCTAGTGGCAATGTAGTCGCTGTTTCATTCTGTATAATATGCATATATATAGTAGATTCCGTACTTCTTTCTGGTTTTATAATACATTTGTTTTTTTGATCAATTGTTGCAATCAAAAGTAAACACTTGCTTTATAGGTCAGAATTAAATAAATACCTTAAAAACAGTTCAACATGAAAGAAATTAGTTAGCAGGTTATAAATTTGTTATTTAGATAATTCACTAGTCACATAATTTAGTATTCCCCTTCGGAATAACAAGTTTTTCAAAGCAATTCAAATAAATCTCATTAACGAAAATACAGTCAGCATACAAAGTCGGCTCCGGCAGCGGAGTTCGGCGAGGTACCTGAATAACTAAAGTGTTTTTACTAATTCATAATTTAACAAACTGCTGAATATGCTTTATGGAAGGTTAATTTAGGTTAAGTTATTAATATTCAGGTGGTATATAAGTGAGTTTGAAAACTTAAATTAGTAATAAGGTTTTAAGCTTTACGGCAGGAATTAATTCCGACATAAAATGAATATGTGGGGAATACGGTACTCCACGCAAAAACACTGCCACTCGCCTATTTAAAATTCATTCCGTACAAAGTACTTAACAACATAATTGAGAAACTTTAAATACGGCGCGCCTTTATCGTCACATTTCGGAGGGTTTGCTCCGCCACTTAGGTACCTTCCTCCATTCGTCACATAATTTAAAAATGGCGCGGGGGCTCTAGTGTCATTAATGGTGCACTTAGTAGGCTTCTAATAAGCACTTGGTCTTCGGTGCTCAACAGGGAACAGGGAAAGTTTGTGAAGTTTGTCACACATGGCATTTGACAACAGATTGACACTCCTTTTTATGGATTCAAACTTGCAGTGATAACATAAGCAGATTGCTTACTTTATAAAGATGGCTCAACAGCATGTGGGCATGATGAAGTTAAAACACGTTTTGATAAAACCTTTAATTCTCTGTCATACCAGTTGTACGTTGAGTGCGGACACAATAAAATACACACTGTCTATTACGAGTTTACTGCAATCTGATCTATGAATTTTCTTACATCTGTCTTTATAGTAAGTTTTACCTTTTGTTGGATAAGCATAAAAGTCTACATAGCGTTCTGGTTATATAAACGTAATCTAATATCATGATAAAAAATAATATGACGATGGTTTTTTGAAGATGACATTCATCGGTCCTTCTTTTGGAGGTCGTTGGAATAGGTTGGGACATCGGTGTGTGCATTTGATGTGGACAGCAATGATGATGACTCCT